AAGAAAGAAAAGAAGAGGAAGAAGAATAAAGAGAGAGAAAACAGCTTTAAAAAATAACAACAAAAATCAGAGGAAAACACAAAAACAGAAGTGATACCAAATAGATCTCAAAGTTTCAAATAAGTTAAGAAAAGTATACCTGCTATGAATTTGAAGGAAGATTTGCTGAGGAAAAACACTGCAATCCCAGCTAATCCCGACAACCAAGAACCTCAGCATATTGATAATGTGACATGTAAGTTCATCCCAATACCACACCAGCAAGGAAATGACTCCTTTAAGCAAGACTAACGTGTAGTTGAACTTGTCAACTTTCCATTCCATTTAACCAAACTTCATAAAGTCTACTCTTCCCAAATATGTGATAGCAAAGAAAATCATGTAGACTCCCACAGTCTACAATCATACTTCTTATGACAAAGTTTTCGAGATCTGCATTTTCAATACCAGTAAATTATTCTAAGAGTTACAATTCCTTGAGTGGTTACATTTATATCATATCTCAAACTCAAATGTTTAATCTTAGTTAAACTATGTAGTGACATTAGTTGACATGCATATCAAGAACTCCCCAACTTAGTGTAGTGTGTGTTGAGTTGATTAGAATAAATAAAAAATAATAACAAAATCCAATCCACTTCAACCTCCTTATACGATCCATTATGAATATATATATATATATATATATATATATACATATAAGAAAAGGAGGAAAGAAAAGAAAAGAAAATAGGTATTAACTAAACATTTTCAACCAGAAGACCCTCCTGGCTCTGTCTAGTTCTGTGAGCTGTCTCCATAAGCAAAGTGAAGCACATGAAAAAGCCAATTCAATTAGACCCACTAGTAAGTAATCAAATCGAAACAGAAACAGATGCAACAATTTGACAGATTAATTATTCCATAAAGAAATGAACAATAGGTCTAATGTTTAATTCTTTGGCCCAAAAGGCAATCTAAGCCTGCAATTCAATAGAATAGCTTTGAACATAGAAAATGGTTTTAAAAGGTCTGAAAATACTAACTTAAAAGAGACATTTGCCAATTCTCACATTAAAGCATCAACTCTCTGCACAATTCAAACACATACCATAATCTCAAAATCACTTACACATCATAATCAGCCTAAGATAACAGAATTCAAAACTGCAATTAAGTTTCATCTCGCCGACCAAAGAAAGTGAAATGTACCATCCCCAACAAACTTCTACCCGAGCTTTAAATTGAAATGAAATCCTAACTAACAAACTATGCAAAACCAAGCATCAATTTCATGTTAGAAATTTAGTCATTAAAGCGAAACGACAGCCACCAGTGAAACAGGAAAACAATAAAGACTCAGCATAATTGGCTTACCCATCACCCTCAACATGGCCGTACTTGTGGGAGCTCAATGATTTTCACTTAGAAGCCTGAGGAGTAGACTCCGGTAATGGCATAGACGGCAGAGAGATTTGATTGCGAGGAGGCGATCGTTTCTTTCGTCAGATTCGAAGACAAAGCCTCGCCTGAATAGAAACCCTTCCATTACTACGACAATTCCTGTTCCTGAATCTTGCTACCATAGAAAACGTACGTGATCGGAAAATAATTGGGGTTGCCATTAGGGTTTTACAGTGAGCAAGGGAATGGGAGAAAGAGCGTGCTGGTGTGTTTCACTGTTTCAGGCCATTGGTTTTCGACTTCGGAAGACGAAAAAGCCGGCGTCTAATTCCATGGGCTTGATTAGAATTTTTATTGGGCTTTACAGCCTTTACTTGTTCTCAAGAAGCCCAAAACTAATAAACTATCATATTTTCAATTTTCTTTTCTTTTCTTTTTTTTTTCATTTCCCTTTTCTCCTTTATTACGTTGATTATTCCTTAATTAAACTGTAAAATTAGGAATTACAACCAACCGGGCTTGAGGCCCAATGGTTGGTCCCAAGTCTTAGGGTTTGGGTGAGGCGGAGGTCAGGGTTTCGAACCCTGTCACCGAAAAAATTACAGATGCTAATAAACTAACTCTACTAACTTTCTAATCATCTGCCTGATAAAAAAAAAAAAAAATTAGGAATTACAACTCATTATCTCTGCACCAATTTTCTGCTATTAATGGCACCTTCAGTTAGGGGTCTTTGTTAATACATTTAATTTGACCGAACTTCAACTTTTTGTAAGGGTTAAATTTTGCAGTTAGGATATTCTTGCTCAAAGACTATATTATTTTGAAAAATTAGTTAGACAGCAAGTGGGTTATTTTTTTATTTGTATACCATTAGATTGTTTTAAGATTAATTTTTGTGTATCTTAAAACTAATTTTTTCTTAAATAATTTTAAAAGTGTATCTTCACATCAGTTTAGTGTATTCAAAGAAATTAATTTTTTTATGTTAATCTAAAAATTTAAATTCTAAAATTAATCTACAAAATAGTACTTTCGTATTAGTAAACCCAACTTTTTTTTAAACATTAATGAACCCAACTTTTTGATAGAAAGCAAGTGAGTATATTAAATGAGAAATAGGGTGTATGGTGTTCATTAAAACTTAATAAAATACAAGGTCGGTCAATATTGACATTAATTATATAATATTGCTTTTAAATTTCATTTAGAATGAAGTTTATTTGTTGCTTCTTTTTTTTTGGGGGGGCTAAAGGAGAGATTTGCAGAATATATGTTTTTATGCTTCATCATTAATAAAGCGGTAGAAAGTAAGCAAAGCCAGTTCTTGAATTCCTCTATAGTTGTTTCGTTAGTTATTCTGCAAATAATGAATTCAGTGCCGTTTGACTAAGGGAAGAGAAAAGAATAAAATAAAACAAGTTGATACTAAGCAACCGTAAGAAGTGACTTAGCTTTGTACATCCCTTATATTGTTTCAATTTTTTAGCTTTTAAGAAACAATCCAAAGGGTTGGTTATCTACAAAAATGAACAAGATAATGGTTTGAGTATGACATTTTTTAAGTTTCAAGTTTCTACTTTAAATCTTGTTATGGTTAGTCATCCTTCTATTTCCTCAATTAATTGTACAAAAAAAAAAAGTATTGGGGAGCCATCACATATATAAAGGAAAAAAAAAACACAAAAAAGTTAATTTAAAATACAAAAGTCAAGAGATCTCATAATCATTCATATTAATGATTAATAATCCTCATTGATTATATACACTTTGGATCCCTAAAAACTTTTTGGATCTAAAAATTTTATTGGGATCTCCATACTAATTTGTAGTAAAACGATAATAATAGAACCTAAATAATCAAACCTTTTGTGGTGCCGCACCTCACTTCCTGAAGACGTTTGCTCCACAAATGTAAATAAGGTAACCCTTTTTTTTTTCTCTTTTTGGGTAAAGAACATAGCGTAGAAGTTGAAGGTTTAATTTTGAACTCCTCGTTGCATGTGAAGAGCCCACTAGTTCCCTTCTACACGCTTGCTTCATACGCCAGTCATGCACGGTGCTTAAAATGTTGGGATTAAGCTTATAAAAAATTTATAACATTTATGAAAAATTTATTAACTCTATCCAGTCTGGCATTATCGGTCCATCCTGGCGTCAAACCCGAAATCAGATCTATATATATATATACTCTTCCAACTTCTGAATTATCATATATAAAAGTTAATTAAAGTTTGATAGGAGATACAGCGAAAGAGAGGAAATGGAAGGGAAAAGATTGTTTGTGAGGTTCCAATTGTTATTGGCATTTGTTGTGATACTTAGTTTTTACGTTGGAAATGCAGATGCTGCAACGGGGCTGCAGCCACCGGTGAAGCTTCGCTGGCATTATTACAGGAAAACATGTCGTTATGCAGAAGAGTATGTCAGGCACCAAGTAGAGGTTTACTGGGGCAAGGATAATTCCCTCACAGCCAAGCTGATGCGTTTGCTTTACTCAGATTGCTTCGTAAATGTGAGTAATGTTCATATTTTATAATCAAGTTTGTTTTTGGCCTTGGAATCACAAGAAACTTAGCGTTGAATGATATGGTATTTTGTTATTTTCAGGGGTGTGATGCATCGGTTCTGCTGGATGGACCATATTCAGAGAAGACTGCACCGCAGAACAGAGGGCTTGAAGGGTTCGTTGTCATTGACAAGATCAAAGAGGTTCTTGAAAAACGCTGTCCGGGTGTCGTCTCTTGCGCCGATGTCCTCAACCTTGCCACCAGAGATGCCGTTCACTTGGTATATTATAATATCTCGTTTTCTTTCATTTCATTTCAATTAATCAAGTATATATGCATGGTAATCGTACTGAGATGAATGAACAGTCTGGTGGACCATCCTATCCAGTATTTACTGGGCGACGAGATGGCAGGTCATCCAGCGCCGCCTCTGTGGATCTACCGCCGCCCTCCATCTCATTGGAACAAGGACTAGCGTATTTCAAATCAAAGGGGCTGGACGAAGTGGATTTTGTAACCCTTATCGGTACTCCACCGGACTTCCATTTGAGTTTTTCAACTTCTCCGTGGAGGGGAGAAAAAAAGAAAAAAAAGGAAAAACGCTTTATATTTTCTTTGAATGTTGCTGAATTTTTTTACTTTGACATGGCAGGGGGTGGACATTGCGTGGGGCAAACTCATTGCAGTTACATAGAGGATAGGCTATACAATTCCAGTAACTCCGGTAAGCCGGACCCAACCATGAAAAAGTCATTGTTAGACAATCTAAGAAAGGAGTGTCCACCGAGCACAAGAAAGGATCAAAGCGATCCATTGGTATATCTAAACCCAGAATCTAAAAACGGTTATAAACTCAGCACTTCCTGCTTCTCCAGAGTGCTGAATTATGATGCTGTCCTCGGAGTTGATCAGCAGCTACCCTACAGCAATGATACGTTGCAGATTGTTCAGGAGTTTGCTGCTGGTTTTGAAGACTTCAGAAAATCACTTGCTCTGTCAATGAGTCGGATGGGAGAAATCGGTGTTCTAACCGGCAAGGATGGAGAGATTCGCAAGAAGTGTGGATCCATAAATTAGGACAATCCCAAAAAACACTGGAATGGATTTACCCTGTCCTAAAGATATATATAACACTTCATAGCTATACAAACAAATATATATGACCTTGTCTTTGATTATGTATAGAAATATGCATGAACAAGGACAATGGAAAAACTGTTTTCTGTTTACAAATAAAATTATATATGTAACAGGTTCTTCATTAATAATAACCTAAATTTTCCTACACTGCCTCTAGAATCTCTACACCTACATACCTAGCAAACTATGAATTTCGATTTCCCTTTCTGTGGAATTTCAATACACAAGATAAGAAACAAAGAATTTTGCTGTTTGTTATCTAGATCGCAACTTATAATTAAGGAAAAGAGGAGGCAGATTATGCTCGCCTGAACTGCAAGAGACGTCCACAATAGGTCAATGCTCAGTCCTGGCTGCACCAGAATAAAGATTTATCTTCTTTGGTTCTTCTCATCACTGATCTTTCCGGTGACTGCAAAAGGAGAAAAAAATAGAAAATTAACTGTCTAAGTTACGGTATGAATGGAAAGACATGGAATATGTTTTTCTTAATATTGCCAGGCAGATGTTTGTGTATTGAAACATCACAAAAAAAAAGAAGTAACAGAGAAATGTAGTCATCAGCCACTCAGCAACTCCCTCCCTCGTGTTCCCAACCATTGGTATGTAAAATGGGAGACAAATGATAATTCTTTAAGTTAGTCCTAGCAACAAATCAGGACATGATCTAGAGAATGAACACACATCGATCCATCAAAAATCAAACACCAGGCTAACCAGAAATAGCAGTTCGTTTAAACAAATGTGGGAACATGCAAAAACATATGCTACTTAAAAAGTAAGGTTCTCAATGATCAATATCCATAAACCATGCGAGGCTATGTAATAACAGTAAAGAACCTCCCATGCACCCAACAGAGGAATAAGAGCAATGAAGTTTTCAGATCAAGACATATGAGTCATCTGACAAAAAGAAAAAGTCATTGCTAGGTAGGAAAAAAAAAAAAGAAGCTAAAACAGGAAAGAAAAAAAATGTCAATTTTCTTGGGATCAATCATAGAATGCACATTGGCCCTTGTTTACTGACCCTAATTTGACCCATCCTTTGGTATCCATTGGGAAACAGTTTAGGAACCATAAGTGCGAGTATAGAACAATTAGGACCCCAATCTTATTTGAAAGAATGTTGAAGAGGCAGACAAGAGGTCACCAATACAAAATTGTCCCTTGATATCTATCTCAGAAAAAAATTTTCAACTGGAGGACAAGTGGTTCAAGGAGAACTTCATTAGCAACTAAATATATTTATATAAAAAAGAAGTTACAATTTTGTTTTCATAAAAAATTTATTTTTAGGAAAATGAATTCCTTAGGGCTGACCACACCAAAATAATTAGATATTTACTATCATTTAAAAACCATTTGTATTATGATGTACTATATTCTGATTATTACTTCCATTCATCAGCAGCTATCGTTCGATCTCTTTAAAGTTCAAATAAATTCTCTTCTTTTTATCCGTATTTATACTTATTTTTCCTAGATCACAGAAAGCAAAGTTCATGCAAATCACAGAAGAAGGTAGCCTTCAAACCAGCTGCTTTAAGATGTCAGTCACATGTGGTATTTAGTTGCTAACAGTGGTTGAACCCATTCCATGGAACTCATCTTAAACACCAGAAAGATTGACCTGAATTACCTCTAGAAGTTTTGAATCATAAGACCATTCACAAGTCAATAATAAGTCTGGATAAATTTACCATAACTAATTCACAATGAACAGTACCATTGTAGTCAATACTAGGTCCAAATTTTCGGTCAAGAAATGAACTGACACCGTTATAGTCTTACTTTATAGAAGTCATGATTTATCAGTTAATTACTAAAGAGTTTTATTTTAAGACATTCCAGAAGGTCACAGGAAAAAGAAAAAACACTGAGACTGCATATAGTTTCTATCAGTTAAATGCATAAATGGTCTACATGGATTTTATTTGTTCACTTGCATCAGATGATAGAAACTACTACAGGACAGATGAAAAGTGAACCAGATGGTAAATTACCTCATAATAGATTTGAATAGATAATATAGGTGCAAATATCAGGACGAATCTTTCAACAGCAAAAGCACATCTGAGTATAGCCAAGTTTTCTCATGCCATGTTCACACTAGGAATTATAGGCTCCAAATACCAGCTCAAACTGCCACACTCTGTTATTGCCATATAAATAGGCAGGAAATGGTGCGGATCTACTCAGAACTACGAACTACAGAGCTCTGCCTCTTGATTAGCTGATTCAGGAAAAAATATATATGTAATTTACTAAATGCAATTATATTCTACAATTGTGTGAAAAGTTTAATGCCCAGCATATAGTTTGGAATTTGGACATGTATATGTGACATCCCATCTGGTACCAGTTAACAACAGCAATGCATGTGTGAAACACATTCATGACAATTCAGGTCTCCTAAATGTCATGCTCTTCTTCAGAGTACACACACTGAGAAAATGAGAATCTAGGAGGAAACCTGTTTACTCATAGTAATTCTATGAGGGAAAAAGCAACTGAATAAGAATCTAACCTTGTAAAAATATTTTTTCCGGATTTTGATTGCTGTCCGTATGCATCTCTTGACATGAATCTTAAGTGACTTATCATTGAAAATCTGCAACAAAATTAAAACTTTAAATATTGAAACCATACTATAACCCCTCCATAATTTCAAGAGCATAAGAAAATGGAATTGATATCTCTAGGTCATACATGCAGGGATATATTTGGAATGAATGAACTCAAATCCTCAACAATGAGTTATCGAGTTGGTTTAATTTGTTATGCTCATGATACCGCATGTAAGTGGATAATGAACTTAAGCAAAGCAGGTTTGATTTCAGCATACTGGGTCAAACTAGATTTTTACCATTTACCGCATATCTAAACATTTCAGCACTTGCCTTTATCATGTCATCAATTGAATGGGTTTCCCTAATAATCTTATGGCTGTTCATGATAAGAATAGCTGCCACACAAAAGACAGATAACTCATCATCTCCCTTCCCAGTTGATGAGACAATACTGCAAATTTGTAGGCGTTCATTTCTTGACCAAAAATTCCGTGTCAACCCACAAAAGTGATGAGTTGATGCTGATTTTATCCCATCCTTGTCAGGCATTGAGTGCTCCTCAATTCCATGGTTTGACTGTAAGTTACCCTTTAAACTACCATGTCCATTTTCTGCACCTTCCTCTTTCATTTCTGATCCAGAGCCCCATGGAAGCTCTATGATCAATGCTTCCAGACAGTTCTCCCCTAAATTGTAAGCCAAGGATTCATCAAAGTCAGCTGCCCACATCATCTGCGTTTGGATGATGATTTTGCCAATAAAAATTTCAAAAAAGAGTACATAAGATAAGATCAGAAAAATGTGAAAAGAAATTAACAATCTACACCTGTGAAAAATGCAAAAGGCTACAATTTCTAAAAGCATGCTCACCAACTGCATCTTCAGAAATTGAAAAGGTCAAAATTGACAATAAAGAAAAATATGATTACAGTCAAACACGTTCAATTAGCACTTATACCAATATGAACGCTCCAGGTATCCTCATACTGATTCTTACTATCAGTAGTCAGTACTTTTCACCAGAAGACAAGTTCCAGCATAATATATGTTTATTTCTTAGGTCTGATCGAAACAAATAGATTTGGGGATAATGTTGATCATTTAGGAAAAAAAAAAAAAAAAGGAACCATAAATGAAGGAGAATCTTTCTATCAGTCAGTTTTTTCTGGTGTAACAGTTATGAACTGTGAAAAAATTCTCAATCCTCAGAATTGTCATCAATTTTTCATCCTTACTAGCTCTCTATATTAGTTAGTGCTATTCTTTTTCCTCCCTTAATTACAATATTCAAATCAGATAACATGTACAGGACTAAAATTTGTAGAACAGGTCATGAATAAATTTATCAATCATTCACCATGGTTCCTATTTCTGTTATTGCCATCATTGTAACTTCTTGAAATGCAGAAACCTTAGACCATTATGTTTGTCATGTATTGATCCAACATCCATGATGACTTGTTGAAAAGAACCACAGAATATTCTAATATAGTTCCCTTGAAGGAAACAGCTTTTAAAAGATTGTGAGGAAACAAAATACTAGAAGCCTTTCATACTACCAAAGGAATAAGGCAACAAGCTAGTATCAGGAAAATGATTCAAACATGCATGTAAACTACATATTACTGCTAGACATCCTCCATGTTATTTCTAGATGGCCTCATACTTTATCTACTGATCATCATAACATTAATCTATATTGTGTAGATTAGAACTTCAATATCAATGTTTCCTGTATATATTATGATGCAACTCATGTGACGGATTTGCACTATAGTTGATGTCATCCAGTGAAAATAAGAGGACAAACCTCCC